TGGGCAGTAGAATGCAACAGAGTATCATAGATGAGGTCCATGGCACAGTAGTTGCATGGTTCTTACATCCAGGCTGCAGGGGCTGAATTATAGGTTCTGCCTTGAACAAGTTGCTTAGTATTTCTAAGTCTCAGTCCCCTCCTCTGTACAATGGAGACCACAGTAGCACATCTTCCCCATAGACTATCAAGAGAATTTAATGAGGTTAATGTGTATTACTTATTTAGAAAGGTGCCTGGCATAGAGCATTCATTCCCATACTGCTAGTTTTTAAAGTAGGGCGCTATCCTTATGTATACTCACTATATGTAGAAGTCATTATTGTATCTCTATGGATATTAACTGAGAATGATCTCTAGCACACATTTTTCAATGGAGGAAAAAAAGAATGTTACATGTGGTATTCCATTATAGTGTTCTACTAGTCGTGTTTCTAGAAAAAAACTATGAATTTCTGTGGGTACCTGTGTATAGAGATGTGAGGTAAGAGGGAGTTTGGAGACTGAAAAGGGGTCTAGAATTAAGACGTAGTGCTCAAAAAGAACTTGACCTTTATCTGATTTTAGATGGATGGATGATGGATGGATGGATGATGGATGGAGAGAGGGATGACGGATACATGGGTATGGATGGGTGGGTGGGTGGATATGGAGAGATTATGTAGAGAAGGAGAGATGGAGGGAAGGAGGGGGAGAGAAGAGGGACAGAGGATAGATGGAAAATGAATGGATGGAGGATGAACGGCTAGATCATAAAGATACAGGCTATATCCATATAATACTTGCACCTTTAAAAATGTGAATAAAAATTAAAGGGCCAAGGTCATGCACATTATTCCCATTTTAGAACCAAGGAAGTGAGAGCTTAAAGACATCCAGTAACGTGCCAGTGCACAAAGCCAGCAGGCCCCAGAGGAAGGTTTTCAGCCCTGCTCTGCCCTCACGGTGGCCTCTCCACCGCTCCACCCTGCCTCTCTGAGGCCACCCAGGAGTCGCCTATGACAAAGACTAGCAAAGGGGCCTCCTTGCCCATACTGGCTGGAATGGTAGAAGCCAACCGCAATGGAGAATTTCGTTGTTGTTTTTGTTTGTAATTAATGAACCTGCTGGAATGTGCCACTCCGCAGAGGAGCTGAATGGTTCCTGCTGTTCCTGCAAAGCAAACAAAAGTCCCTCCACCTAAGCCACAGTCTCTGGCCATTTTCCAGAACCATAGCTATCCAGGGACACAGGACATTGGGAGAGGGGCTTCTCCTGCCAGCCAGGACCCAACCCCCCACTCTCGCTGGCTTTCCTCTGGACATACCACCCACCTGCAGAAAGGCTCCCTGAGACAGCCCCAAATCACCACCAACCCCAAGGGGAGGCTACACCCATCTCATCCCTCCTCATTTTACTTCTTCCTGGACCTCAAGGAGACAGGTCTCTTTCAGTTTCAGTAGCCAAAGAACACCAGAAATTTTCCTTTGTTTTTCTTTGTATCTTAGGAGGAGGGTAATAACAATAACTATGAGAACTCTGCCTTCATATTTTTAGGAAAACATCCCAAGTCCACAAGCAAAACTATGGAATGGCTAACGATCCATTCCCTCTCCATCCTAGGGGGAGGAATCATCTGCTTGGCATATCCCAGGTTGGTGAAAGTTAAAACATTGGCAGAATGGCACACCTAAGACAGAATGGTGGCCTCACCCTTCAGCAGCTGGGCGACCACGGTCTCCCCTACACTCAGAGCTTCGCATCTGAAAAAATGACTTCAGGTGGGCAGAGGTCACTCCCAGCAGGAGTCTGAGAAATGTTCCTTCCCTCCTCCAGCCCAGTAGAACATCTTCCCTCCAAGTCATCTTTCCAGAGCAGCCTGGGTCCTCCCCAAGTAGCTGGCTCCTCTCTGAAGTCTGATCCTTTTTATTTCCTTAAGTCACAAAGCCCAGTGTGGAGTGTAACTGTATGTGTGGAGGAGAGACGGGGGAACAGATCTGGCTCCTTTGAAAATGACTTCTTTGCTAAAACCACAGCCTCAGATCTGATACAGAAAGAATCCTCTGGCACTGTTCCCTGTCAAAACAATCCAGAGATATCCAGGGACCATCCCCCAGAGCTGCCAGGGCTACCCCCCCCAAACTGAGCCTCACGCTGGTATCCCCAACAGGCTCAGGGGAAGTGGCCCCTGAAGCTCCAACCCACAGCCCAGCTTCTTCCTGCAAAGGAGACCAGAGAGGCTTTGGCAATTTGAAGCAGAATTCTCTCTACTGCACCCCCCCTTCTGCAGAAACCACACACATACTCAGGCACACACACCCCAATTTTCTGCAGGCTGTTGGCACTCCACTCCTTCCTGAGCTGGACAGAGCTGTGAGAGTAGGGTCTGCCTGGCCCCCTCCCCCTCCTCCTCTGGAATCAAGGTTTCCTCAAGAGTTTCAGGGGCAGTGGCTGGTGGGGAGGGGGCACAGACATCTGGCTGCTGCCAAGTTCTTTTCTTTCCCTACATTATGTTTTATAAGCCAGCATGTAGTTTATTCTTCTCCTAAACACTTCACTAGGGTGCAGGGCCTGGCGTTGCCATAGAAACACCTTTTAACTCCTCCTCACCCAGAAGGCGGTGCCAGTCCCTGGGGCTTTGAGGAGAAAGGCACAAGGAGACACCTGTGGATGAGGAGAAAGGACAGAGAAGGCCATGCGGGCTCCTCGGAGAAAGTGGGGCCAGACGGGCCCTACCCTTCACGAGGCAGCATGGCACCCGGCCACAGAGAAAACAGACCCAGGAAGGGTCTGGAAGGGGAAGCAGGAGAGCTGAGCATCTTGAGTGGGCTATGGCCTTGGCTGTGGGGTCGCAGGGCTCAACTCCTACACATGTCCCTCATGGGGGGCGAGAGAGTCAGCCGACTGGCAACCAGAGGGGCTGTGACCCTAGCAACAGACACAAGGGGCTCTGGGAGCCACCTTCTGGACAGCAGGGTGCGGCCAGGCAGTGGGAGGTCAGCAAGCCGGCAGCCCTCACCCACACCTCCCATTTTTAAATGCATTAGCTCATCCCTGCACCAGGCCGAGGCAGAACAGGTCTGGACAGGTGCCAGCACATCGAAGACTTTTCGTTTCTTTTTCTATTTTTGCTACCACCCAGTTGTAGTCCCAGGGGTGACTGCCTGTGAACTTAGCTGTTCCCTAGGCAGTTTATTAAGGGGGGGGGGGCAACAAGGATCATTTCTTCAGTAAATCCAGACACATGATAAGAAACTTTCTGCATCAGCCCAGACCCACAGCAGGAGACCCGAGCAGCGCCCCCCTGGGAAGCCAGGGTACCCTCCGTCTGGGTTCCACTGAACCATGGCCAGCTTCTCAGATGCAATCCCCAAAGCCGAGGGCTCAAGGGGAGTCCCTCCGTTACCCTCATCTCTTTGTGAAAACCAAGGCGCACGCCCGAGCCATGGCAAGCACAAGGGGCGTCCCATCCACCTGCCATCCTGGGCCCCGAGAATGTGCAGTCCCTCATAGCGCAGGACCCGCCAGCCTCAGCTCCCACTTCTGCACAGGTGGGTGGCACCAGCGGGGTGCAGGCCAAGTGGAATTTGAATAGGGGCACCTAGGGGAGGCGGCTGAAATCCCTCTAGGCCGGGGGCAGCCTCCTTCCTGGCAATCCACAGTCCTAGCTGCTAGGCAGTCTCCACGGAGAGGGAAGGGTGCACCAGCGCAGGGCCCCAGAAAACCTCTAATAAGGGAGCCCCAGGTCACACAAACACCAGCGCCTGCCAACTCCACTGACCTCCTGGTCACCACAGCCACCTCCCTGACTTCTGCGAGGCTCTGCCCAGCCCACCAGCATCGCCCCTCCCAGCCTCTGCGGCCTCTCCTGCCAGGCTCCTGCTCCCCCCGCCCCCCACTTGTGGAGGCCCGCACCCAGAATCCAGTGGAAATTTTCCTTCCCTTTACGACTGTGCTTAAAACACACACACTCCATTCTTCACCTCTGAATCGACAAGGAGGAGGGCTGCTAGGCTGGGTCCCACCCCCAACCCAGCACACTGCACGCGGGCACGCACAGGGGCCACTGGACTCCAGGCTTTATGAGCTGGAAAGGAGGGGAAGGGGGCTCTCCAGCTGCTGCCCCACCCCCAACACAAGTGTCCCCACACTCCCAAGTGAGTTCTCCCCAGACTCTGGGGACCCCCAATAAAAGCTGAGTCTGGGTCTTACTGAGTCTCTGTAAGCAAGACGCCACGTCCAGTTTGGCATGGCCACCATGGTGTGACCCTGGGCATCTTTGTTCTTGGCGTAACAATCTGTTTTCTGCTGCCCATTCTCCCCCTCTCCACACACATTTCAGGGGAGAAAATTGTCTTCCTGTGAATTCTCACAGCTCCGTGATAAGTGATCCTCACACACGCCACCTCCCGCTTGCTATCAACACTCTCAAATACAGTTCTTCCCCGGGAGGGGTAACCCCAGTTTTCTTCTCATTTTCCCCTTTAAATCCATCCAAACTCGGCAGACTAAGACGCCCCATGAGCTTGCCAGGGCAGGAGGAGACGTGGGTGAGTCTCAAGAAGAAGAGTAAACTTCCTGGGGGCAGGAGGTGCTGCAAACTCAGGAAACTTCCATCTTCCCCTGCAACTTTCCCTGCACATGCCTGGCCACTATTTTTTTTTTTTTTTAATCTCCAGCATTCCTGCACTTTAGCTGCCATTCTAAATTTTAGGAACCCTGGCCTCTCCCTTCTCCCCCAGCTCTGCCTCCACCATCACGGAAAGTGAAATTTTCCAAACGTCAAAAGGACCGGTGGGGACCTCAAGCCCTCGGAGGAACGCAAAGGCGGCGAGGGGTGGGCTTTCTCGCCCCGGCATCTCCCCACTACGCTGAGCCCAAGGAAACAGTGTGACCGCCCGCCCCCGGCCCAGGCGAAGGAAAGGCGCGGGGTTCGCCGCGCCTCCGGGAACCGCGTCCCAGTGCCGCGGCTGCGTGCGCGCGGGCAAAGCGGGCTTCGGCGCGTCCGCCCCCAGCGCTTACCGATGTCAGAGTTGCAGAAGGCGTCCTGGGGGTGGGTGGGCGAGCATGTGCACGCCTCGGCGCCCCAGTACCCCAGGCTCCAGCCCAGGAGCACCACCAGCCCGAGCCAGGGAGTCATAGTCGCTGCCGCTGCCGGGCTGCCGCTCGCTTCTCCAAAGTTCCGTGCGCGCCGCCGCTGGGGCCGCTGCAACCTGAGCTCGCCCGCCCGGCGCTGCGGGGCAACTTTGGCCGCGGAGCGCAGCGCTTCGAGTGCCCAGCCGGCCAGGACCCGGCGCCGCGAGGTTGCTGGGGGCCGGCGCACGACTCCGAGGGCGGCCTCCCCGCGAAGGAGCAGGAGCTGGAAGTGGGGCTGGAGCAGAGGAGCTGCAGGAGGAGAAGCTGTCGGAGCGCCTGCCCGCTGCCCGCTCTGCGCCGCTGCCCCGCAGCCCGGTGATATAGCGCGGCTGCCCCCGGCACCCCCTCCGTGTGTTCGCGGCCCGCCCCTTCCGACCAATGGCAGAGCCGCATTACCTCATAGGCCCTCCGAAAAGGGGGCGGGGCCGGGGGCACGGGGCGACTGGGCGATGGGGCGGGGCCGCCCCGGACCGTTCAGATCCTTATAGGGAATAATGCGGCTGTGGGCACGCGAGTGGGTGGGCTGGGCGCGCCTCCGACCCGCACCGGCCGTCGGGCCCCCGGATCGGCGCCCCCAGCCCCCTCTCGCCTACCCTGTTGGCCACACGCCCACCCTGCCCTCTGGGTGCCTAGGATCCAAACCAGAACCCCCTACCACCCACACGGCTCCTACCCATCCCCGTTTTGGAAAGGCCTAGGCCGGGCGATCTTGACAGCGCTGGCTGGAAAGGTCAGGTTAAAGGGCTGTCTCTCCACCTGGAGAGGGCAGAGGGGAAAGAGGCCCACGCCCCACCCCCCACTGCGCTGCCCTGGCCCTGGGTCCAGCCTTGCGTGTCAGGAGAAAACCATCCGCCTTACTGTAATCGTTATTTCTTCGGGCTCACACGGAGTAAATTGTGTAGTCAGTCCACAAATAGGGTTCTGGGTGCTGGGGTCGAGCAAAGCAAAGTCCATACTCCTATGGAATTTGCAGGCAGTGCGGGAGTAAATCCATGAACACACGGGGTCGTTTTCATGGTGAGTATTGTGCAGAAAAGAAGACAGTAATAAGCTAGAAATGGTTGGGGAGGGCACTGCTTTGTGCGGGGTAAGAAAGAGAAGGCCTCTGGGGAGGTGACGTCCCAGCTGAGAAGTGAGCAAAAAGCCTCTCGGGAAGGGGGAGGAGAGCATGCCAGGCCGGGGAAAGCAAGTGCCCAGGCCCTGGGTGGCTTGAAAAATAGAAAGTAGACAGGACAGGAGCACATGGCAGACCCTCTAGGGCAGGTGGCCATCCCTCAGCAAGGACTTGAGGGGAGAACTGGTAGAAACTGGGATGAAACCAGATCCCAGAGAACCATCCGGCGAGGATCCTTGGATGACCAGCTGAGTTGGAGAATTGCTAGTAGCTGATACTGTGACTCTTCTGAGAATTAAGTGACATCTTGATTCTCCCTTCTCTCTGCTAGACAGAAAGACATAAGGCATGGTTTGCACTTTCCAGATGGGAAAACTGACATTGCAAGATGACGCCATTGGCTTGACCTCGGTTTGCTTGTTTCCACCTCTCTGCCCACCCGGGGTTCGGCATCAGTGAACTCTGTGCAGATAACCCCCTTTGCAGCTGTACACGTCTGTCTTTCTACTTTTGCATCTCCCCCTCGTTCTCTCCCAGCTCATCCCATTGAGAAGAAGTTTTGAATGTGTTGACTGCAGAAATACTAAAAACGTGGAACAAAATAAGATTTGAGACCGCTGCTCTGAATTGCAGGTTCGGCCTCTCTCGGCAGCTCCCCCACTTCCCCCCGAGAAATGACAATGTGATGCCAGGGACAGAAAACCCCATGGGAAATGGTATTTCCAACAGCACTTTCAAAACTCCTCCCTCCGTGGAAGGAGTCGTAAAGAAGAGTCTGGTTTCCACTTGTTTCTCTCTTGTCCCCTTCCCAGCATGTGAAAATCTTCCCACCTTAACTCTACTTAGTGCCTGATCCATAGAGATTTTCTTCTCTCTGTGTTGGATCCTGCTCGCTGCTCATTATCTCATGAAAGGTGTTTGGAGTCTTCCCCCAAGTACCCTGGAAAAGCGTTGAGGCCTGAGATATTTGGCCACACTGCATTTAAGCCTGCAGACCATGAAATGGGGTTCAGGAGACATGGGTGTGGCCAGCAGCCCAGTGAGTCTTGAGCAAAAAGCACTCTGGGCAAGGCCCCGGGTGAGTGAGGACGTGCTTGGTGAGACCGGAGCAATGCTTTCATCCCTGCTCAGTGACAGTCATGTGGAAGGTTTTATAGGCCTCTCCAGACCTAATCCACTTTGGATAAGCATCTCATGTGAGGGTGGCCTTTTTTCTTTTCACATTAAAGCTTGGTCCAAAATGCCAAGGTTTCCCCCAAGGAAAGGCTTGCATAGAATAGGACTATGAAGCAGATAACCTTTGCTGAACTTAAGCCCACAGGTTCCTTAGAGAAAGCATCTGAAGCATTTGATGCTGGCAGCTAGTTAATTATGTAAGCTCAAGAATAATCTGATTGCTTTTCCAGCTGAAAGGTAAGGAAATTGCCTTTTGGTTTATTTCCACTTGCTCCCTGTATGGATCGTCACTGGTCCATACAGCTCAGATCCCATTTACTTGGAAAGTCCCACCAGTGACCAATGTAAGGGGTCTATCTATGAAAGGTCGGCCCAGTTTTTGCCCTGAAGAAGAGAAAGAACCAGTTCCGGGAATCCTTGCAGAGGGGAGCCCCCCAGCCAGGCTCAAGCCTCCAGCGGGCAGACCTCACAGCCATCAATACCCATAGAATGATGTGTAAGAATTGCTGTTTTAAGGCCACTTGCTAAGCCAGATGAAATGAACCTAGGCTAGTGGTAAGAATGAACACATTATTCTTCTACTTTCTCTTGACAACTAAGAACAATAGTAGATTCATAAGCCTTAAAGAAACTGAAAAGTTTCAAAATCGATCTGGCTTGTCCTTCAGCCTATGAGGCTGACCTGGTATTATTCCCTTCCTAGGGAACTTTTCTAGGCAAGCTTGAGTGTGTGTGGCACCCACGCCAGGATGCTGGTATCAGTCAGAAGTGTCCTGTTGATACTGAGAACTCCTAAAGAGGACGTCAGAGGCCACCCCCATTTCAGTGGTGGGGAAGAAGAGGCACAAACAGGAGAAGGAAGTTGCCCAGATGCTTACAGGCAGCAGTCCAGGCTGGACTGAGGGTCTGATTCTTTCCTTACCTGGGCTTCCTCCCACCCACCCACACGACCTTCCACCCCAGCAGCTGCATGCATGACTAAGTGCCTGCCCTTTGACGTGAAAACCCAAGACACACACAGCCCTGATCTGCAGCTCAGATCTGCAGTTCAGACAGTAGGAGAGTTCACTTCCACATGTCTTTGTGCAAGGCCATCCACAGACAAAGCAGCTCTCCCTAGTGATAGTAGTCACCTCTGAGCCTAGCTCTGCTCTGCAAAGGTGTGTCCTTGTTTATTCTTCCCCTTCTAAGTGATCAGTTAGGTCTTTTGAAAGCATTCAACTATATTGCTGCAAAGAGATGTGGGAAAACTTTCTTCCTGCAAGAAGGGGATAAAGTGAAAAATGTGGAAGACCTGAGATTTGTTGCAAAGATTACTGCACAAGAACAGGGTGAACAAGTCACCTCACCTCTCCAGGTCTTGACTTCCTCATTTATTGCATGAGAGATACACCCCAATGGTCTCCAAAACCCTCCCTGGCTCCCAAAGTCTAGGATTCTGTGGAATTCTCAAGGACAACGTGGATCTTTCTGAAGGGGAGATAGATTTTTCCACTTAAACAGGTTTGAGAAAATCAAATGTATCCCAGACTGAAGAGCATCAATCTCTCAGTCAGCTAAGTTGACTAAGTTCCTATTCTGTTCTCTTCTCCAAGACTCAGGTTGAAAACATAATTATGGTGGTAACGGCATAGGAGAGACAGGGAATCTTGCTTCTGATAGTTCCCCATTGTAACTACTTGTTTATTTGCCTCTTTGCCTCTTTAATCATGAGCATTAAGCAGTCAGGAAATATTTCAATTTCTGTTTCCAAAATGTATTTCCAAAATTCATTGAACTCCTATACTGCCTTCAGAGTGCAGTTTAAATGTCACCCCCTCCAGGAAGCCAACTCTCATTCACATCGCCAGCCTTCTTAATCCTCCTCTGTATATCCCCACTGCACCCTGAGCTTCTTTCTTTCGCACCACGTAGCCCATTTTATTATGATGGTTTACCCATCTGTTTCCCTTCCTGGACTGGAAGCCCATTGAGGACAGTTTTGGTAAAAGATGGGTTATTATAACAATGAGTGCAAGTGAAGATTGTATGAGTGGAATTGATTGGCCTTACCCACCCCTTCCAGAGCTCAGATGCAGGCTCCTTAGCGAGCTCACCAAGTCCTATCCCTCTGGCCAGTGCTAGGGGGCACTAAAAGCCAGGAAACACCCATCCGCTTTGTCTGCAGTCTCCACCAGTCTCACTGAGCAGGCAGCCGGGAGAGGCACAGATTCCACACTAGTCAGTGGGGTGCGGGTGCCTTTGAGTGGGTGACGCCAGCCCCTCCCGTCGGCAGTGGCCACAAAGCTCTCAGTCAGCATCCCGTCTGGGTCCACAGCTGCCCAGCCTGTCCGCCCCCGAGCTGGCCACATGTCAGCCCGAGGAGATTCGCTCTTGCTGGAAGCGAAGCACTTGTGAATCATGGGGTTGGGGGATCAGGAAGAACTGTGACGTCTCAGAGGGTCCATGATCCAGCTCTTCCAGGGCAGAGCTGGCATCTGGAAATGAAACCTGAAGGAAACACTGACACGTGTCATTTCTGTTGCCTCATGGGGAAACACCCCTTCTCTCCCTGCCCCTGCCCCCTCGAGATCCCAGCCTCAGTGCCTTCCCCAACCCACATGCCAGCTCAAAGTCATTCCATTTAAAACGTTCTTCTCCCAGCAGCACCCAGCCCATGCGCGTGAGCCCTGGCCAGCCCGCCGTGGGACGTCAGGCCTGGGATGGGTAGGCAGCACAGGTTCTATGTCTGACACCGGGGGGAGCAGACACCTCCCCTGGCTTCCATCTGGAGCCAATTCCACGGCAGTCAAACTTCAGGGCGTCTCTTGCCTCTTCTCGGCTTCTCTTCCCTGCCAGGGTGTGAAGAATCCTTAGCAAAAGCCTCTGGCTGCATTCACCTAAATCCTGGGGTTTTGACATTTCTTTCCACAGGGAGCTACTCCCGAGAATCTTAAGCCAGAAAACACATGTGCGCCGTAAGGACTTTTTCTGGGGTGGTGGGAGATGGGAAACAG